TCGGGCCTCGAGTGAAGCTCAGATGTCCACACCTCATCATCCAAACCCCACACCCTGGGCAGACACAGGATGTTCTTCTAAATCTGGCCTTTTCCACTTGGCTGTGCAAGTCCCACTCTGGGCACCGAAGGTGAATCTACTCCTGGGATCTGGTGCTGGTGCAAAGACCCCAGGGAAGGAAACTGGACACTAAGAAAATCTGGGCGGAAAGCAGCTGGGACAGTGAGCACTGGATAGAAAACACAGTGCATGGTTTTTTGATATGGTACTTCTCAGGGACCCTCAAGGACAGAACCAAACACCAGTCCCTATGTGTCTCTAGGTCCCAGGGCCCTCCAGGATTTCTTTGTCACTACTCTAGTCCCCGGGGCTCCTCCTCTTAAGGGTCACAATGGACAGTAGTTTTTCAGGCTGTGCTTTTCTTACCAATGACCCCACACCTCATTCCTCATTCCAATAAAATCTTCTGCTCATTTCATTTGGTTTTTTTCCATCATCCTTGAATTTCAGCCTCTCTATGGACGTCTCCACAGGATATTCACATTGCAAAGAGATCAGCCCCTTGACACGACAGCGGTGACTGGGCTCTACAAGGCTGAGCATCTCTCTTGCTTCTGTTCTAGACCAGCCCTAGGCAAAGCCAGAGCCAGACCTCTCTAAATGCTGCGCCCACATTTCCTTAAATATCAGACTTCCAATCTCACATATGGGCCTCTGGGACGAACAGGCTGGATTCTCCTTTCTTGTCATCCCTCCCTCAGTTTCAGAGGTCAGATAATGGCCAGCATACCTGCACCAAGAAAAGGAAACACTGAAAACGCCAGGCAGAGGGCACCTGGGTCTCTGAGTCACACAGGCTGGATTCTTCTTCCATCCACATCCACAATGTGTGGGCAACTCCTTTTGCTTCAGGAAACAAACTGATTCTCTTTGTGCCGGGACATCAATAAGAAAAAGAGTAATTTTCACTGAAGCCATGCTCTGCTTCCAGCAACACAAGTGACAGCAGAAGCCCTAGCATTAATTGGTGTTGGTCACAGACAGGGTTAGGGGAGGGACTGTACAGCCAGGAGGAGTCGGGGTGATCTTTCACTCATTTCTCCATGGAACAGGAGCTCTTGGTGACACGGAGTCTGGATACAGCTGTGTGACAGTGATAGTCAGCCTCGTCCTCAGGTTGGAGCCCAGAGGTGGTCAAGAAGGCTGTGTCAACAAAGCTACAGCAGGAGAATTAGGCTGGGACGCCTGAAGGTCCGTCACTGCTCTTTTGGGTCTCAAATACGTGTGCTTTCTCAGGGATCCCTCAGTGGCCACTTCCATGGGAATACCTAATTTTTCTGCTGCTTTCCGTGCGGGAAAGCTGACCTCAAGATAGGAGCCTCCTCAAGAGTTTCACAGGGAGGAGTCACTTGAAGCAAATATTGGCAGTTTCTGTACCCGGATATTCCACAGACCCACCATTAGAACCTGCCTCTGTGAGAAGCTCCAGTGGTGTAAGAGGGGAGAAGAGAACACATCCAGGCCCTGAGGGACCCGGAAACCTGCCCTCCGCAGTCCCCACGGTCCTGAGTGAGATGAGCTGCAGGAAAGACACTTCACAGAACCAACTTCCCAATGGCCAAGGAGCACGCTCAGCCCTGTTTCAGCTATGGCGGAGCCTCCCCTTCACCGTCTCATGTCCTACATAGAGGTTTTCTGGCCTTAGTTAGCCCCACACCTAACCCTCTCTCTGATATTACAACTGAAATGTAGGTTCCCAGCACTGAGCCGGTCGGTGCTGTGCTTGAAATCCCACTGACCTGCGTCCTCATGCAGCATTTCACGTTGGAGTGCCTTGTTCCTGGGACACTGTGAGCCTCAGACAGCCCTGAGCGCAGACCACTGGGGTGGGAGGGGAGGTCTCTGGTTTGAACCATGGAAGAGCAGAGTCCATGCTCCAGGGGACTGTTCTCCTCCTAGATTGTTCCCAGCCTCTGACCGTAAGTTGAGCTAGGAAAGGCTCATTTTTCTTCTTTCAAGAGAAAAGGCCCAGCTCCACAGGCACTGGTGTTAGCTGCCATCACTCGTGTTACTGAAAGAATAGCACGTGTGGACAATCAGCCAACACTTCAGTGTCATCAGGTGCTTTGGTTTTGTTTTTGTCTTATGAGACTTTATAAAAATGGATGGGAAATTGAAGGAAGAGTGCTTTGACGCTAGGAAGTAGTTCCAAATGTAGTTTCTGTATTAGCCAGTTATTTTAGCATTGGATCTGCTGTCTGGGATAATGCCGGGACTTCCCTTTGCCCTCTGTGGCCAACTCCTTTTTAGTTCTGTAGAAAGAGAAAGCCAGGGGGTGTCTGGGAGAGATGAGAGAGGGGGAGCCTTGGGTAGGTTGGAAAAGTGTCACAGAACAAGAGTGAGAGTAGGTCATGTTTTTTCCTACGTCTCTTCCTGTGTGTGTCACTGTGAAAAGCGCTGCTGTGCCGAAGCACACAGTAATAGTCAGTTTCACCCTCAGGCTGGAGCCCAGAGGTGAGTAAAAGCTCTGCATTGGCCGAGGTACCTATGGATCCAGAGAAGCGGCTGAGGACTCCAAAACCCTGGCATTTACTTGAGTCTGAGTAGTAGCTCAGGAGATACCCGGGAGCAATCCATATCCAGTAGCTACCAAAATGTCACTTTGGATGGTGCAGATTAGCCGGGCTGATGCTCCAGGACATGCAGAGAGAGAGGCTGGCTGTGTCAGCACAGGCTGAGAGAGGAAACCTGAAAACACACCTCCTAGGGTGAAATGTTTTATGGATCTCTGCCAGAATGGCCAGAATCATGCTGGGTGGCTGCCCCTGGTCTCTGGAGCCTGTCCCTACCTGTGCAGTGAGACAGAAGTGGGGAAAAAGAGAAGTCAAAACCATGGTGGATTCAGCCCCTGACCCCACAGTGGGGCTGAGCTGCCCAAGGTCTCTTTTTCTTCCCACTCTGCAGAGCAAGGGCTGCTCATGGAAATGTGTTTCTACCAAGAGACTGCCCAGCTCCTCCCTGAGCCCTGGGCTGTAGTTCAGCTCACACTACAGACAGGAAGAGGAAAGTTTGCTTTCTTTCTTGTGAGGGCCCAGGGAGGGAGCACCTGCTGAGACTGGACTCGGGTCCCTGCTCAGGGTATTCTGCCAGGCCAGGGGAGGACAGAGCTGCTTAGTCCCTGTCAGCGAGCATGGGGCCTTCGTCCCAAGACCTGGGTTTCTTTGTTTGAATGGTCCTTACCGAGAAGCTGTGTAGGTACCATAGGACGTTCCAAAGCATCCCATACTGGTTAGAGGACACACAGCTTCCCGTGGCCCATTCGGTCTCTGCAGCTCACCAGTCACTGTTTCTATTCACACATCATAACGCCATTCATACACACAGATTCCATCATGGTATGCATGACAACTGTGATTTCTCAACCCCAGAACAGTTCTTGGTCCATTTGGGTGTGCTCACACATACATACATCTTTTAAAGGGGTCAGCATCTTCACAGTGTCTTCTGAATATCTAATTGCTCACATGTGCCTTCCAGGTAGGCATCACAGAGAAGGGGTCGGCAGAAGAGCTAGATCGACAGGCATGTAGGGGCTGTTCAGGAGAACAGTGAAAAGAAAATTTTCCAAGGAAAATAAATTATTCATGACATCATAAAGGCAGCCATTCAGCAAAAGTTATCTATACAATTGTTGCAGACATTTTACAGAGATTTGACTCAATTTAGTCATAGAAGGAAATGAATAGATTTGGTGGACTTACAGCTACCGGTGAATAGTGTGACTTCTTTCTCTATTTTTGAAGTTAGCCATTATCTCCCTCAGTAAAACTTGCAATTTTGCGTGCAGTAGTGTCATATATTTTGGCCAAGAATTTGACCTAGATGTTATAAAATTTTTCTCTATTGATCATACCACCTCTGTTTTCATCCTGGATATTTTTTGCTCATTAGACAGTTCAGTAGATATTTTAACCTCACACTGTTTTTGTAGACGTTGTAAATTTTGAGAAGATAAAGGCAGAGACCATCACTTGTTCAACGTAGCCCAGATCTACTCTTGTGTTAAGTGTGCAAACCTCCCATGGGTTTCTAGACTCACTCACTTAACAAATACCTATTGATGTGTCTCTGTGACATTACCACTGTGTTTCCAGTCCAGTTCCCACCCATTACTTGTCTATACTCTGCTCATTCTTACCTGGCACTACTTTCTCTAGCTGTCATTGAAATCCTGCCCTAGATTTCCTAATATCTTTGAAGAATACCTAAAAAAATGTCTTCATGGGGCTGACACCACTAGCACCCCCAAATCAGAGCTGCCCACTCTGTAAATCAGTGTGCCCCTGAATCAGGCACCTCACCACTGCCACCTCCCCTCTCATGGATTCTGACCTAGAACACATCAGTTATCACTGCTGTTAAAGCACACAGTTAAACCTCTCAAGAGCGAGCATAGGTCAGAATCACACATTACAGCCAGAAGATTGCAGCATTGTCTATTACTCCACTGGGATAGGACATCTAAATGCTTGTGCTGGAATTCTCTTGAAGTCTGCCCATGTGTTTGCTCACATGAATTATTTTAATCTATATGATTTTGCTGTAAAAAAGGCAAAATGGCCTAGGGACCATGAAATATACTAGCCCCTTATGGGATGGGTGCAATTCAGCAATGACTAGGGGAATCAACAAAGAAGTGTGCAGGGTGAACGAAGCCTGAAGAAACAGAAAGATCATGTGTGATACATGATACATTCCAGAAATTGGAAGCCGAACAGTGGCAGAGGAAGATCCGTGGCTTTTAAGGAGGCTGTTGGGGGAGGTGGGAGATGTTAGAAAGCAAAGTGTCATGAAGAGGTGCTGGGGTTGGACACCGGTTGCATAGCTCAGTGGCGGTGATGTTTTCGAGGATACAGAAAAAAGCTAAAATGTGTCTAATTTCCTACGAAACCATGGGAGGTTTATTTTATGTGCACTATTCCTCCATGAAAAGAATTTTATTTTATTTTATTTATTTTTTTTTAAGATGGGGTTTCACCATGATGGCCAGGCTGGTGTTGAACTCTTGACCAAAGGTGACCCACTGACCTCCCCCTCACAGAGTGATAGGATTACGGGCATGAGCCACCACTCCTGGCCAAGAATTTTACTAATAAAGAATGGGCTTAGGAGAAAAGAATTGGGATTCACACTGTGGACCAAGGAGAGAAAGACACCCCTCTGGAAACTTTTGCAACTGGGGAAAGGAGGATGATGCAGACACGGGATCCCCATCAGGGAAAGGTCTGTGATGACACAGCTGTCCCTGCCACCTCAGCCCAGGATTGCAGTGCGGAGACCCTGCGTCCCAAGATGCAAGATCAGGAAGTTCTGTTTTTTAGAGTTCCTGTTCCTAAGTACGAAGAAATGGAGCCTCTGCTCTCAGGCAGGGCCCTGGATGCCGCTGGGACCAGTGGGGAAGTTTCAGCAGCAGAAGCCACAGAGCAGGCCTGAGCAGCAGCTGCCGGGGACTCACCTTCCTGGCAGACGAGGAAGAGGGTTCTTGTCTCAGTTCCCCATTGGCCTGGAGCACTGTGCGAGCACTCAGGCTGCTATCCCATGCTGCGCAGTAATAATCGGCCTCGTCCTCGAGCCGGAGTCCAGTGATGGCCAGGGAGGCTGAGGTGCCAGACTTGGAGCCAGAGAATCGGTCAGAAACCCCTGAGGGTCGCTTATTATTATCATAGATGAGAAGTTTGGGGGCCGTTCCTGGGAGCTGCTGGTACCAGTATACATAATTACTTCCCATATTGGAACTGCTTCCAGAACAGGAGATGGTGACCCTCTGCCCAGGGGTCCCAGACACTGAGGGTGGCTGAGTCAGCACAGACTGGGCCCAGCATCCTGGAAGTGGGAGACACACAGGCATCATCATTCTGGGTGTAGAG